GCAGGTGCATCTCCTTGTGCACCGCCAAGACCCGGAGGGAGATCTCCCAGAAGGGCGCAAGCCAGGCGCAACCTGCAAAAGATTGTGCCGTTCGTGCCCCTCGACTCGGACACCTTCTCCTTCTCGGTTTTCCTAGCTTGGATCTCGACCCAGAGCCCGTGCAAACGAGCCGAGCAGTCCACGTCAGGCGAGTGCCTGTCCAACATGACGCACACGGTCGCCGCCCTTCTTGCAGACCAGGGCCAGGCGCATGTCGAGGCTACGGAGGCGATCCCTGAGGCGCAGCCTGCGTCGGCTCACACGCCCCGGGCACTCTCAGGAAGGGGTCGGGCATCCAAGAAGACGGTCACCCAGTACACGCTCGACGACATCAAAAAGTTCAAGCCTGACCGCATGCGCCAGGCCAGGAACACGAAGACTATCGACTGGGCCATGGACGAGGCCGTGCCGACGGAGGACTCCCCAGCGTCGGATCGGCAACGCTTCGCAGTCTACCGCAAGGCGCTCGATGCCATCGTGGCGCCCAAGGGCCGGTCGAAGAAGCCAGACCCGAAGGTCCTCGCGGTCTTCAAGGACAAGGCGTCCGAGCTCGGCGTTCGCTTCGACGAGAAGCGATTTGGGGACTTGTCGCAGCTCCTGGCGGCCATCATGGCCAAGACGCGCTCGACAGAGATTTGACTATCTTCCCGTACACGCGCAGGAGCGCACCGCGCAAGCGGTGGTGTTTGGGATCTTCACGACGACGGGATGCCATGCATTTCCAGAACCCCTGAGATCCGATTTTGCAACATCACCTCTCTGGCATTGGTCCGCCATGCCTTCCACAGCGTGTACGCCGAGAATGTCTTCGTATGGCCATGCATTTTTGCACTCATTCGCATGGGCATTGCTCTCACCGCACCCTTCCTGATGTCCTCCACCACCGCCTTCTACAGCAAGCTCCGCACACTTGCATCCTCACTCCCATCCTCTACATGGCCACCGTCGCCGGACCTCCTGCATGCTGAATGTGTCGTGTACATAATATGGAGTCCCTGGCATAAGCATTGCTACGTTGGCAAGACGGTCGACTTCCAAGCCCGCGTGCGCCGACACCTACAGGGACTACTCTATTCAGGCAACTACAATCTAGTTGGTAACCCTTTGGTCCAGACTTCCCGCCTGCAGACCTTACCTGGTAACCCTTTGGTCTTAACTCGTGCAAGCTCAGCAGGTTGTGATCGTCACCGGGACTCGGTTGTGATCGTCACCGGGTATACGTTACTTGGCTTCCCACTCACAGGACCAGGCGCGGAGGTAGAGGGGCGGGGAGGGGAGGGAGGGGACACTCATAGAATTCAACAAAATCCCCACGAACCCGGCACAGTACGTGCAGTGCCGGGGGTGGCGGACCGTCTCCCCATCCTGCCTTCAAAGGGGGATGCGAAGTCCCTGGAGACGGGACGGGGTGGGCATTGGCTGGCATCATAGCCGGCCCACAATCAATGGAGGCATCAAAGCCTCTGACCATCATACTGTCTAGGCTGATCCACTCACGGATCCAACACCTCATCTTCTACTCAATTCATTCCATGCGTAGCATGCTCTCCCTTTTCTTTCGCCGTGCGCCGCCGCGGGCCTTTGCGCAGGTCGGGGGGCGGCCAAGAGTCAGGAGCGGAAAAAACACACAGACACAATTAATCGTCGATTCCCCAGAAAATATGGGAATATAAGGGAAGTGGGGGGGAAGACAGAAACCCAGAATATGTAGGAATATGTAGGGATTCCTGTTATTTGTGTGTATTTATTTGTGTGTTCAGTCGGGCCTGCCCCTCCACAGGAAGAGTATGCAAAGACAGCAAAGACATTCTGTGGGGACGACTTTTCGATATTTTTTTGGGATCCTTTTGAGCACTGGTGGTCAATTTTTCAGTCTCCCTCCAAACTCCGCCTGTAGGGGGACGCGCCCGACCTCAGACTGGGGTGGTGGTGGATATCATGGCGTGGGCCATGCTATTGCCTCAGATTTCGTGGCGCCCCTTCTCATCTTATTATGTCCCTGGCCCCCCGCCTCCTTGGGCCGCGCACGTGCCGCCGGCCATGATTTGCGCCCCCCTCCCCCCTCTCTTGGACGCCCCCCTTAGGCCGCCTCCGAGCAGGCCGGGGGGGGGGGGCGGGGCGGCGGCGCGGGCGCCCCCCCGCAGTGTTCGGTAGCGGAAAATCTTTCCTCCTCATTCCTGTGGGTTTGCGCCCCAGTTCTCAGGGCGCCAACGTCGCAGAGCGGATTTCGTTCGGAACACGACGGGATGGGCTCGGAGTGTCCCGGAGAATTTCGTTCCGGACGTCCGCTGCAGCACGTCTGCAAGGTCGGTGCAGCGACAGTTCGTTCACAGGGAATTTCCGAATCGCACGTCTGCCGGGGATGTCTTGGGGCGATGTGCTCCCAGCTCCCCTCTGTACACCTGGGCATTCCCCGGCAGACTGTTCCCTGTGGACGTTCACTGGCCAGGAGGGCGGCGATGGCCGCAGGTCTCCGACGATGTGGTTTTAGTTCCTGCTCGATCCCGGCTGCTGGGGGCCATGCCCGTGCCCTGGGAGTTGCGCGGGCCGACGTGGAGCCAGAAAGCTGAGAATTCGCATGCAAACTTCTGCAGGTAGTAGTTTTCGGCCACGCGCAGAGAGGGGTAGGGGAGGGTGGAAGGCTTCTTAGATGGAGGCCGCTTCTTAGAAGGCGCGGGCCTTGTCTGTAAATGTAAGGCCCGCGCCTTATAAGAAGCAGCCTCTTTCTGAGAAGCCTTCCCCCCTCCCCCTACCCCTCTCTGCGCGCCGCCAAAGTTTTGCACACCAGAAGTTGCAGCGGAAGCGAGTTCTCAACTCTCGAGATCTCCTGAGCCACCCCGCGGAACCCCACGTGAAGTCCCGTTCTCGCCAACTCGACCACACAGCTGTGCGTTGCACCCGAAGTCTTCTAGCTCCAGTTCCCAGGGAACTCTACGGGGTCCCAGCCCGTAGAGCTCTCGAGAGATCTCCTGAGCCACCCCGCGGAGCCCCACACGAAGCCCGTTCTCGCCAACTCGACCAACTGGCTGTGCGCTGCACCCGAACTTTTCTAGCCCTGGTTCCCAAAGAGCTCCACGAGGCATTCCTGCGAAACTTCTGCACTCGGATCGAAGACGGGCCCGGTTCGAAAACGTTGCCCCGGGGAGGACGTCGAGAGCTCTGGGGCCGCGCACTGAAGAAGCGGATCGTCGGACGTCTGGGACTCCGGGGAGAGGGGGACCCTGGCCAGGGCCATCACATCTGCACGGAGTTCATGGCACCCCCTCCTCTTAGTCGGGTATAGCAAGGACCCCAGGTAAGGGGACCCGGTTAGTGGTAGGGCCCCGGAGCCCTTGAATCGGCCAGGATCACTAAACCAGGTCTGCCGCAGCTGGTGTTTTTTCAGGTGACGGCAGTTCCATTTAGTGGAACGGGGCGGGGGGGCGTCCCCCAGTACACATCACTAAACCAGGTTCCACTAAACGCAGTTCTGCCAACGCCCGACTCTTATTTGAGTGCGTTCCGTTCCCTGGTCCACCTTCGTTCGCGCACGTGCCTCCAGAAACGGTCTGCGACCCCCCAAGTTGGACGACACCCCGACGACCAGGAGGTCTGGTGTTGAGTCAGTCGGGCCTGTCCCTCTACAGGAGGAGTGTTCAGCAATAATCAGAAATCGTCGGGACGTTTTTTGTTGTTGTTGTTGTTGAGCATCTGCACTTTTCCTCCAGAATCCGCCTGTAGGGGGACACGCCCGACCTACATCTAGCACCGCCCGGGTGGCCGTGCCGCCGCGGGCCGTGCGGCGGGCCTGCACCGCCCCCCCCCCCTGGGGAGCCGCCCCTGTGGCCGCTCCGCCTCCCTCCCCGCCTCCCTCGCCCCTCCCGGCTCCGCCCCTCCTCCTCCTCCTCCTCCTCCTCCTCCTCCCCCTCCTCCTCGCCCTCCCCCCCCTCTCTTCCTCCTCCTCCTTCTCCTCCTTCTTCTCCTCTTTGCCTCCTTTTGGACCTTGGTCAGACTTTAGCTACGTGATTGGAGCGCCCCGCTCCGCCTCCCTCCCCGCCTCCCTCCCCCTCAGTGGCCCTGCCAATTGTTTCCGTGTCTCCGATGTGTTTCAGTCTATTTTTTTTTGGGTGGCTCTTTGCCCCCTCCCCCTTTCAAGGGGGCGTGGCTGCTGACGAACCTCATTCTCACACTGGGCTCCCTCCCCGCCTCCCTCCTCCTAATACCGTTTCCTGTTTGGTTTTCCTGTCAGGGATCTCCTGAGAGTTTTCCAGATGGGGCCAGCTGTGAGCGCACGTTGACCGTCAGGCCACCGTTACACCACCACCACCACCACCACCACCACCACCACCTTACCCCTCCGCCACGTGCTGTCTCCTCCACCGGAGGACCCCCGCTCTGCCGAGCGGCACAGTGGCGTGTTTGCGCGGCACGGTGGCGCGTGGTGCAGTGGAGGCCCATGCCAAGAAACACCCTGCTTGCCTCCAGGGTGCCCTGGGTTTCTTGAGTTTCGATGGTTTTGCGATGGAGGGCGTGACGTTCCCACGCCAAAAACCAATGGACGTCCTGGGGTCTCAGGGTTGGGTTTCTCGTGGAAGGTTTCTTGTGGACTGGCCTCCATTGTAACGGGATGACGGGATGACCATCAGCGCAGTCGTGTCTGCGGGCGACACCTCTTCCAACTCTTCCTCCCGCCCTCTTCCCGTGGCCCTTGCTCACCCCCCTCCTCATGCCTCCCCCTTCTCTTCCCCCTCCCCCTCCCCCTCCTCCTCCTCCTCCTCCTCCTCCTCCTCCTCCTCCTCGTCCTCCTCCTCCCCCCTCCCTCCTTCTCCCTTCTCCTCCTCCTCCTCCTCCTCCTCTTCCTCCTTATCGGATCCCCTCTGTCCCTCTCCCCCTCCTCATCCCTCTCCCTCCTTCTCCGCCGTCTCCTCCACGTTCTTCTCCTTCCTCCCCCCCTTCTCCTCCTCCCCCCCTACTTCTCGCAGGTGATGGCCATGCCGCCAGGCCACCCTCTGGACGGCATCCTGCCGAAGGAGCGACAGGCGGCGGACTCGGTCTGGCGCCCGCGCTCGTCTTCGTCCCTGTCCCCGTCCCCGTCGTCCCCGTGCCCATGCCCGTCTTGGTCGTCATCTTAGTCGACGTCGTGTTGGTGGTCGTCGCCGTCGTCGTCTTCTTCCTCCCCCCTGCACCCTCATACTCATGTTGGCCCTACTCTTCCTGCGTGTCCTCCTTCCCCGTGCTTGTCCGCTCTTGCTCCTCGCCCTCGGCCTCGTCGTGGTCCTCGTGCTCGTCCCCGTCTTCGTCGTCGTTGTTCTCCTCCTCATCCTCTTCGTTCTTTCCGTCTTCGTGGAACGCTCGACCTTCTCCTCCTCCTCTTCTTCCTCCTCGTCCTCCTCCTCCTCCTCCTCGTCCTCCTCCTCCTCCTTCTCTTCCGCAGCCATTTTGGCTAAAGATTTTGGTCGCCTGGGGGAGCCAAGTTGATACCAATGGTCCGCGGTTCGGTTTCAGTTGTCCCTGTTCACCTTTGCGGCGGTGCAGGCTGCCAACGTATTTTCCTCACTGTACTCTGGCTCAGGCTCGGAATTTCTGATCGCGGGCTGCGGCAGTACTGATGTGGGGTCAGGAGTGGCTGCCATTGTCTCGTGGGTGTTCAGATCTCCTGCTTCGACAAGATGCCTGTGTCGTGGCGCCCGTGGGCGCCGAGAGGGGGTGTGCCCGACCGGGATCCCAAGGCGAGTCCAACAGTGGCGACAGCGGACGCAACGGTCGCCTCCGACGGAGGCGACCAGATCGCGGAGGCCTGCCCCAGGGGAAAGTGCGGCCTTGGTCTCGCACCAGGTCGGCCGCGAGGGCGGCGGCACTGCTGTCGCGCCAGGGTCGGGCAACCGTCGAGGGAACCGGGGTCCGGGGCCAGGCACGCAACGGTCGCGGCTATATGGTCGCCGGTCGCCGGCCAGGCCCACGGATCATGCCCCGTGCCAGTGCCGCGGCACCGTCGCCCTCCCGCTCGGCCTATGTAATGGCGTCGTACCCAGCGGCCGCGAGCCTTCGGAGGAAGGCCGCACATGGGACAGCTGATCGCCTCCCCGGGTCGACGGTGGCGCGTCGCTTGTCGCCTGTCTGCGTCCCCTGCCGCGGCTGTCTCGCGGCGCCCCAGCCCGTCGCCGTGCCCAGAGATCCGATGTCGTGATTTTTGGTTCAAAACGCTTACATAATAGTCAAGTCGTTTAAACCTCCCCAGTTCTTCTGAGAGGAACATGAGGCGTAAAGACGCGTACCATGATTGAAGGCCATGGAAGGATTTGACGAGGTTTAGAAAACCAGAGGTCTAGAGAACCTTCAAGGGCACCAAAGAGAACCCTGGAGCGGCGCCAGGGAACCTTTAAAGGGCGCCAGGGCCAACCTTACAGGGCGCCAGGGCCACCCTTACAGGGCACCAGGGAGAAACTTACAGGGCACCAGGGAGAACTTTACAGGGCACAAGGGAGAACCCTGCAGGGCACCAGGGACAACCTTCCGGGGCACCAGGGAGAACCTTACACGGCACCAGGGAGAACCTTACAGGGCACCAGGGAGAACCTTACCGGGCGCCAGGGACAACGGGCACCAGGGAGAACTTTGGAGGGCACCAGGGAGAACTTTAGAGGGCACCAGGGACAACCTTACAGGGCAATAGGGGCACCAGGGGCAACCTCACAGGGCATCAGGGGAGCATTGAAATGGTCGGATCGGCAGTTTGAGCACCGGAGCGGTCGAATCGGCAATTTGAGCACCCAGAAAGTCGAATCTGCAATGTAAGCACAGAAATGGTCACCAGATCTTACCAGACAACAGCGATACTAAGGCCACCAGTGGTGCGAATGTCCCCATTGTATCGTTCATGATTCAAAGGGAGATGAATCAAACCGAGTTCTCGTTTTGAAGAGGGGTGAGCGTGTATACCGCAAACAACTTCGGACGGAACCGGAAAACCATTGCGACGACGCTGCTAACGACGCAGACGACCCATCCGACGGAGACCCGAGCTCAGCGACAAACGCCACAGAAGATGAGCCCGACGACGATTCTGATGCAGCTCCACTCGTGCCACGTAAACGGCCCGCCTCTCAAGTGATTCACGTGCAGGCTGAAACTACCATCGAGGAGCTAGATGAGGCGCTGGTTCAGTACGGAGAACAGTGTGACCCAAGTACTCCCAAGGATGGGCACTGTTAGTACCATGCGCTGAGGCCTCTTGGGGTGACCGACGAGTGTAGCACATATGAGGTGTCGGGCAATGGATGAGACGGACCCCCAAGCGCTCGCAGTGGCAGCGGGGGCATAGGCCGCACAGTGCAGCAACACGTGGCAATGCAGCGTAAAGACGATGACAGGGATGATTTGGTGCTGGCCCTCCAGAGCAAAAGCTGCAGTTAAAGTATTACCGTAGTCAATGCTGATAGCACTCGGACCTCTACACCAATTGGAGTGGATGTGGACGGTCCTGTGCCAGGCAGCATCTGGTTGGGGTATAATCGCGCCAATCATTATTATGGCACTCTCCCAGCGGTTCCTCCTCGAGAAGTGCCGCCATCTTTGCGTGGATTGACTGGGTTGATAGCGCAGAGAAGGCAACGGGGCGGAACATGTGATCCAGAGAGACTAGTTGCAACGAGCGATGTTTCACTTCATTTTCACCCGAATTTCCGCTGCGAGCTGCCTGCCATCTGAAGTAGTTGATGCCACAGAGAAAAAGAATCATCAATCCAGATTCGAACGTTCGCGTGCTCAGATTGCGGAGTCGACTGTTTCTGTGCTCAGATCGCCGATTCGGGCGTTTCTGTGTTCAGTTTGCCGATTCGACCGCTTTTCCGATTTGACCGTTCCTGTGCTTAAATTGCCGATTTGAGCGTTTCTGTTGTCAGATTGCCGATTCGGGCGTTTCAGTGTTCAGATTGCCGATTCTATGCTCAGATTGCCGATTCAGGCGTTCCTGTGCTCAGATTGCCGATTGGGGCGTTTTCGTTGCCAAATCGGCAGCACCCCAACATATTTATACTATATGTGCGTCGCCCTCCCAGGGGCGACGCGCGCACCGAGGAATCTTATAGTATATGCGTTGTGGCGGGCGCATTCTGGCCACACCGCTCGGGAAACGATATACTACAAGATGGGTATACTATATGTTCGGGTCGGACGCGCGCGTCCAAGGATGACATATAGTACTAGTACGTCTTTGTGCATCCCACCAAAGTGCCGATTCGGAGCTTTCCGCGATCAGATTGCCAATTCGAGCAGTTCCGTGCTCAGATCGCCGATTCTGGTGTTTGTGTTCAAGCATTTCTGTGCTGCGATTGCCAACCTCAGCGTTTCTGATGTCATATTGCCGATTCGGGCGTTTCTGCGGGCAGATTGCCGATGCTGCCATTTCCAGGCGCAGATCGCCGATTCGGGCGTTTCTGTGATCAGATTTCCGATTCAGGCGTTTCTGTGCTCAGATTGCCGATTCGACCGTTTCTGTGTTCAGATTGCCGTTTCAAGCGGTTCCCCGCGCCGATTGCCGATTTGTGAGTTCCCCTTGCAGATTCGAGCGTTATCCGTGCCCAGATTGCCGAGTCGAGTGCTGCTGGGCTCAGGGTGCTGATTCGGGCGTGTCCGCTCTCAGATTTCCGATTCGGGCGTTTCGGCGCTCGGGTTGCTGAGCTGGGCGTTTCTGTTGTTAGATTGCGATTGTTGGAGCATGTCGCTCATGGCCGATTCGTCGCTTGCTGCCGGGCCCTGTAAACCGCGGCAAACAACTTTACGCGTGTTTCCCCTGTGTGAAGGGGTGTCGAGGATTAAGCGACCGCGCTCGTCTGTAAACCACTTCCACTTTGATTTTTCCGATGCGGGCTTTCCGGAAGTCTGGGCCCCGCCCCCGGGGCTAGTTTTTACATCCCGAGTTGTCTTTTGACGGCCCCGAGGCCCGGCATGGGCCGCGAGAGGCCGAAAGCTGCGAAAAACTTCCGATGTGTTTTTTCAATGCGTTGGATCTCCAGGTGCGTCCCCAGGTTAACGGGCCACCATGCCTCCCCGCGCGGCGGCGGCGATGAGCTCCGCGCCGATGCGGGGTCGTCGGTCGACGCCTGGGGCGGGGGCGGCCAATCGGGGCTCTCGGTGGCGCCGTTGGCTGCGCTCTCGACCCGGGCGTCGGCCGGCGCGTCGAGCGTGGCGTCGGCGCGCGCGCAGGGTCCAGAGATCGAACGCATTGAACAAATCACGACGGAGGTTCTCGTTATTTTCGGCCTCTAGGGGCCCTCGCCGGGCCCCAGGGCCGTCGAAGAACGATTCAGGGGGCGAAGCCGGTCCTGGGGAAGGGGTCGGGACTTCAGGGGCCCCGCATTGAAACGTGCACGAGATCGGATCTACGGGGGGGCCCCAGGCCTCCGCGCCCTGCTCCTCCGAGCCGGCGGCGCTAGGTAGCGTCGGCGCGGGCCAGGTCTTCGGCCCGCGTCGCGGCCAGGTGGCAGCGGGGCGTCGGCCGCCGCCCGGGGGCTGCGGGACGAGGGCGGGCGTGCTCGCCGCCGGGGGCGGCGTGCCCGGCGGCGAGGGCGGGGCCGGGCACGGGAGGTCCGCGCCCTCTGTTCCCCCCTCCCCCGCCCCGCCCCCCGCTGCAGGGGCGCTGTCTTCGCTCGGCAAGGGCGCGCGCTGGCTTCCGTCCACCAGGCCGCAGACGGCGGCGTCGGCCTCTTCGGTCGGAGGCGGCGGTGGCCGCGGCGGTCGCGGCGTCGATTTCCGCCGGCTTCTGGCCGCTCGCTCTCGGGGTGCGCGTTCCTGATGGCGTCGGTGCTCTCGGTTGTGCTTGCGTGGGGGCTGTCGTCCGCGGGGGCGCCGAACATTTGATGGCGTGCAATGCAGAGCTCAACTTGTTCCCTTCCTAGGCTCTGCCTAGAAGGGTTCTTGCTCGCTTGGCTTAAAGGGGACGGGCAGTGCAGGCCGCCCCGGGCGGTTCCCCCAGCCCCCGTGGGAGCCGAGCCAAAGCATTTGCAAACGTGAATGCAAACGCGCGGTTCCCCCAGCTGCGC